AGGGACAGAGCAATGAGATCTCTGCTAGTAAGATTCGGATGACACCGAATGGGCAAGTGTGAACAGGAAGGTCACATGACCTCAGATCTGTATGATGATGACTCGGTGCTCCTGGCACACAAGTGTCACTGATGCCCCCATGAAGTCCCCCCACAATCCAGTCCCCTCACTTGAGCACCTTCTCTGCACTTCAGATAGCAGTATCCTACTACTTCAGGGAGTCCTTAATCTGGAAATGCCATCCTGGGGCTGAGTGGACCTAATTAGTGGGTGAATGAATGAGGCAAAACTTCCCTGACTTTTTATCATGCCAGACCATGCATTGTATCCCATCAACCAGAAAACCAGGGCTTACCCAGGCTTACCATCCGAACACCATCCCCCAATTCCAGCCTCCCACTTCTTGCTCTAGCTATGGGAACAACAATCCAATTGATGTCACCATTGCTTCTGGACTGAGCCTGACAGCCGCCTCTTTGGGGCTCCTTTATATCCCTGGGGATGGGCAGAACCAAACTCTCTTCCCTGGCCCTCCATTCTTTATTAGAATGTAAGCTCCCTCATGGAAACATTTACCTGTCAGTTCTATGGATTAGGAAGATTTTATGACCAAATGGGAAATAGAATCGTGGGAAGTAAAATGGATAATTTTGATTACATGAAATTTAAAAGGTTTTGCACAAACAAAACCAATGCAGCCAAAATTAGGAGGAAAGCAGGAAACTGGGGGGAAAATTTCACATCAAGTTTCTCTGATAAAAGCCTCACTTCTCAAACATAGGAAACCGAATCAAATTTATAAAATTAAGAGCCATTTCCCAATGGACAAAGGGTCAAAGGATATGAGCAGGCAGTTTTCAGAAGAAGAAATCAAAGCTATCAATCTGTGAAAAAAAATGCTCTAAATCACTATTGATGAGAGAAATGTGAATTAAAATAGCTCTGAGGTAGCGCCTCACACCCAACAGATTGGTTAACATGACAGAAAAGGAAGATGACAAATGCTGGAGGGGATGTGAAAAAATTGGGACACTAATGCACTGCTGGCAGAACTGTGAACTGGTCCAACCATTCTGGAGAGCGATTTGGAATTACAGCCAAAGGGCTATTGGTGTTTTTGTTGTTGCGTCATTTTCAGTCATGTCTGACCCTTAGTGATCCCATTTGGGGTTTTCTTGGCAAAGATAGTGGAGTGATTTGCCATTTCCTTCTCTAGCTTATTTTGCAGATGAGGAAACTGAGGCAGACAGGGTTAAGTGACTTGCCCAGGATCACACAGCTAGTAAGTGTCTGAGGCCAGATTTGAACTCAGGAAGATGAGTGTTCCTGATTCGAAGCCCAGTTTTCTATTCCACTTTGACACCTAGGTTCCCTCAAAGGGCCATAAAACTGTGCATAACCTTGGACCTAGCAATACCACTTCTAGGTCTGTATCCCAAGGAGATCAAAGAAAAGGGAAAAGGACCTTTATGTACAAAAATATTTATAGCAGCTCTTTCTGTGGTGGCAAAAAAAATTGGAAATTGAGAGGATGCCTATCAATTGGGGAATGGCTGAACAAGTTGTGGTATATGATTGTGAAGAAATACTGTGAGAAATGATGAGTAGGATGGTTTTAGAAAAACCTGGGAACACTTATATGAACTAAAAATCAGCTACTCTGATTTAATACAATGATCCAAGACAATTCCAAAGGACCCATGGTGAAAAATGCTATCCACCTCCAGAGAGAGAACTAATGAACTCCGAGTGCAGACTGAAACACATTTTTTATCACTTTCTTGGTTTTTCTTGCTTTTTTTTTTTCCAGCATGGCTAATACGGAAATTACGTTACTTCACATGTATAATTGATATACTGCTTGCCTTTTTGATGTGTGGAGGGGCAGAAGGGAGGGAGAGGGGAGAATCTGAAACTCAAAATGAAAAAAAAAAAGTTAAAAATCAAAAAAGTTTAAAAAAACAAAGAATGTAAGCTCCCTGAGGGCAGTGACTACCTCGCTTTTGTCTTTGTATCCCTAGAGCCTAGCACAGCTCTTGGCATGCTGGAGGCACTTAATATGTGTTCATTCTTTGTTCACTATGCACATTAGTGAAGGAGAAGATTGTACTTACATTTTATCTATTTAAAAATAATTTTGATGCTTTCTGCTTCTTTATCAGCTACATTTTGGTTTTTTTCCACACTTTTTTATTAATTTATTTTTAATTTTCAACAATCACTTCCATATGCTTTTGAGTTTTAAATTTTCTCTCCCTCCCCAAAATGGCATGCAATCTGATAGAGGCTCTACATATACATTCCTGTTAAACATATTTTCACATTAGTCATGTTGTAAAGAAGAATTAGAACCAATAGGAGGAACCACAAGAAAGAAGAAACAAAACAAAACAGAAGAAAAAAAAAGAACAAATAGTATGCTTCGATCTGCATTCAAACTCCATAGTTTTTTCTCTGGATATGGACAGCATGTTCCATCATGAGACTTTTGGAGATGTCTTAGATCCTTGCATTGTATCAGTTACATTTTTTCTTCAAAAACAACTTTTTTTTTTCCAATTTACAAGCACTTTTCTCACCCCATCCCCCATTGGGAGAACACCTCCCCTGAAACAAACCCAAATCCTTGTAACAGATATTCATAGTCAAATAAAAGAAATCCAAATATTGGCCATACCAAAAAATGTATTTTATATCTCATTCTGCACCTCAAGTCTATCATCTCTCCATAAGGAGGTGAGTAGCATGCTTCTTTAGCCTTCCTGGGAATGGAGTATGGCTGGTCATTAAATCTTGGCAACTTAGTATATAAATTGTTCTCCTGCATTCTCCTCCTCTTCATTCTGCATCAGTACCTAGCAGACAAATCTCCCCAGGTTTCTCTAAAACTGTACCTTTTGCCATTTCTAAGGGCATAATTATATTTTATTTCAATCATATACCATAATCTCTTTAGCTATTCCCTAATTGATGGGCAGCCCCGTTAGCTTTTAGCCCCTCCTCCTTTTCTGTTGCTCATTAAAGGATAGAGCCTTAGTAGTGGTTTCAGGCACAGTTTAGTAGTGTTTGGGGATCTAGTGCCCTGACCACAGTCCATTCATGTGCCTGGTTTCCTACAGCTGCTCCAACATTTATCATTTTCCCTTTTTGGTCATCTGTGCCAATCTAACCGGTAGGACGGGAACCTTGAAGTTATTTTAATTTGCATTTCTCTGATCATTAATGATGTGGAGAATTCTCACCCATAACAGTAGCAAGCTAGCGTTTAGATAGTACGTACTATTTGCCAGGCACTATGCTAAGGTCTTTGCAAATATTATTTCACTGGATTCTCACAACAACCTTGGGAGGTAGGTAGGTGCTATTATGACCCCCATTTTACAGATGAGGACACTGAGGCAACAGGCGAAGTGACTTGCCCAAGGTCACACCAGTATTACTTGCCAGAGGCAAGATTTGAACCATGTCTTCCTGACTCCAAGTCCAATCCTAAACCACCTAGGTTGGATCTAGCAGGTTTCTAGTGAACTCTGCTAACCAATATTTTGATGTTTATCGTGGGTCTGTCTTTTTATCACTAACTTCCCTGGGGCATTGTATTGGCATTTTAAGCCTCGTTTGCAGTTGCGTATCTTCCAGGGCTTATCAAGTGAAAACACTTTCCCTCACCACTAGCCACAATGGGGCAAATATTGGGAGAAGGGATGGGTCCTTAGCCCTCTTGTAGAGGGAGCACCCCTTCCAGGCTTGTCCCCAGGGCTGGAAGAGACCTTACAAAGGGTTTTTTTTTTCTTTTTAACCTAATCTAATTCTCCAGAACTGCAAACCGACCTTTCTAGAGCGATGTAAAGTTGGCAAATTGCATTATAATACATTATCTTTTTTGAGACTCACTACAACCCAACGAGGCAGCATACAAGTTTCCTGAAAACAGAAGATCAGAGGCAGAAAGTAACTCAGCGAACGTCACACAGCAAGTGGCAAGTAAGCCCCAAGACTAGTATGAACCAGTTGGGTGTTCCACAAGTGAATTCTGAACACTGCGGTGAATTCGCCCTTCTGGTGCTGCCCCCAGCCTCTCGGCAGGTGGTGCGTCTTCTGTGTTCAAAAGAAATGGAGGAACCTAGACTTCCCCGAGTAGCTCTCACACTTCGGGAAGCAGTCAATCCATCAGCACTGCTGAGGCTCCTACTGTGTGCCACGCACTGAACTAAGCGATGGGGATCCACGGAGGGGCAAAAACCTGGTCCTTGCCCCCTGCAGGCAGCCCAGTGGCAGGGCAGACCGCTCCTTCCTAGGTCCCCGGCAGCCTTCGGGCAGTGCACTTAACCTAGCAGGCAGACAACACGCGTCGGTCAGCGGTCTGGATGGGGGGTGGGGTGGGGGTGCCGCCACGTGGACCGGCTGGCTCTGGTGTACCAGTGCGGGAGGCGGGGTCGGAGCGAGCCGGTCACCTACGTGACCTTGGCCAAGTCCCTGGCTCTCCTGGGGCCTCAGCGCTCAGCTCCAACATTCAGTGACCCAACAGGCCTAACACAGCTTCCGGGACCCAAGCGTGCCTGGGGAGACCAGCAGAGCGGTCTGGGGTGGGAGATGGGCGGGAAATAGGGTGGAGCTAGACTCTTCCAAGGAGTTTGTAGCGCTGGCCGAGTGGGGGGGGTGGGGTGGGAAAAAGGGAGATATGAGTGGGGGGCGGAGCGTGGCAATGTGCCCAGAGGGGCCCCGCGCTCTGGATAAGGCCTATTTAATTAGCGGTCGTAGGGCGGCGGCTGAGCGGCATTCAGGGCGCCGGGCCAGGCGCTTGGGCGGAGCTTGCGCACCGTCGTCGTCGCCCGGAGCCTAGAGGGCAGATTGGTTGGTCGATCGGCCAGTCAGTCAGTCAGTCGCGTAGCCTGGTGGGCGGGGCTCGCTTCGTCCTCCTCCCTCCTCAGATCTCCTCCCACTCTCCCATGTTCCGCCCCCCGCCTCCTCTTGTCCTCCCCCCGCCCTTCTCCCCCCCTCCCCCCCACCCCGCTGGGCCGCTCGGGCTCGCGCGCTGGGAGCGGGTGCGGAAAGATGTCGGACGCGGCGGTGGCGGACACTCGGCGCCTAAACTCGAAGCCTCAGGACCTGACGGACGCCTACGGGCCGCCAAGCAACTTCCTGGAGATCGACATCTTCAACCCACAGACGGTGGGCGTGGGCCGAGCGCGCTTCACCACCTACGAGGTCCGGATGCGGGTGAGTGAGCGGGGCCCGGGGGTGCGGGCCCGGGGAGGGGAGGGGGAGGGGGACCGGGCTCGCGCGCCCCCGGCACCTCGCGCGCGCGCACCTGCAGGGGCGGGGCAAGGAGGAGCCTCGGGACTGTTTCCTCTACTCTTCCTTATCCTGCCCTCCTCTCCCCTCTCCGGGCGCGAGCGTGGGGAGCGGGCCGGAGCACGGCGTGCGGGCACGAGCATGGCCCCGGGGCGCCGCCCGCTGCGTGCACGCGAGGGAGCCTGGGCTGGGGGACGGGGAGCGGGGGAGGTGGCCCGGCGCCAGGGGTCGGCCACGGCAGGTCGGGCCTTGGAGCCGCACCTTTCTAACCCCCGGGGCCCCCTTCCTGCCCCCGCCCCCGTGATGGACCCCCTGGGCCTGTAGCTTCGGGCTGAGGTTGGGGCCCCCGAGGGGAAGGTGTGAGAAAACGGGGCCCCTGGAAGCAGCCAAAGTTTGGGAGGGCTCTACGGCGCGGCGATGGGTGCCAGGTACCCGGGCGCAGCCCACAAAGTTTGGGGGCCGCGCCATCTTTGTGCACAGCGTTCCCCAAGGCCTTTCTTGGACCTGCGGGCCTTTGCACACCCCATCTCCTCTCCTGGCCCCAACAGTTGTGAGAGGGAGCGGAGTCCTGAAGCGGTCAGGACCTTGTGGGACTGGCCGATCATCCATTTCAAGCCGGGAGGGCTATTAGACGTCATCGAGGAGTCCAGGGCCCCCTCCTTTCAGAGGTCAGGAAACTGAGGCAGCCCCCCCCAAATGTGAACCCGCTTCAGGGAGCACTTTCGCCTTTTGAGCATTCCCTTCGAGTTGGAAGGGAGTGATGCCATGTTCAGGCCGCACGGCCCAGGAGGAGCTCATGAATTGGCTGCAGAGCCTAGGGTTCCCAAATTCTAGCTTTTCCAAACCCCTCCAGAACCAAGCAGAGGGAAGGGGACGGTAGCAAATGAGCAAAGTTAGACCGATTGGTGAGATAGCAATTTAGAATCATCCACGCCAGGGGAAGTGTGAAAATTAAGTTCCTAAACAGACTGATTGGATGCATTTTTCTAGGGATAAGAAACAGCTTTGAGTGAGTCTGGGACATGGCCTTGGGAATTTTTTACTAGGACTTTTTGTTTTCATCCTGTGATTTAGTGAGTGCTTTGATTCTCAGAAGAGAAGAGAATTTTGGGGATATGTTGTAAATAACTCTAGCCCTGGTAGGGAGGAGGAAACTCTCCTTTATGGAGTCTCCTTGACTAGACTTGGGAAAAACCAACACTAACAGCTAACCAGTATGTAAACACTTCCTGCTCACTACATTTTCATCCATCCTTCCCACGCTGTAGTGTGAGGGGCTTACACTGTAAACTCTTATTGAAATTCTTGGTTTGTAGAATGGGATTCCTAGTTTTTTATGCTCACGGCTGCCAAAACCCTCTTAATTTTGTAAATTCAGTGTTTATTTTTAGTTATTTTATAGTTATGGATATTTATAATCATAGTGGCTATATTGACAGTTACTTTATTTTTAGTTGTTTTCAGTTCCAAATTCTCTCCCTCCGCCCATTGAGAAAACAAGAAACATAAACCCCATAAAAATGTGTAGTCAAGCAAAACAGAATTCTGCCCTCTGAGTCCCTCAGTCTGGAGGGGGCAGGCTGTTTCATCAGACCCTCTGACTGTGCTTGCTCCATTGTGTCCATCCAGGTACCTAAGCCGTTCAAGGTTCTTTACTGTATAGCTTATTCTCCAGGTTCTGCAGAGCCTTCTTCATATCATTGAACTCTCACCTTTTTTGGAGGACTTTTTTGCAGCAACAAGATTGCTTAACTGGCCACTGGTGGGTGCTTTGGGAAAGTTGACTCAAAATTTGGACACTGGTTTTTTTCTTTTTCCTTCCTTTTTGTAAACAGCTGGATGTTTCTGCCACCATCCCTCCTTATGCAGGAGGGAATCCTAAATTCACAGATTTTAGTCCTGGAAAGGACATTAGAGACCATTGGGTCCACTCTTTTTATTTTATGGATCAGGAAAGGAAGGCCAAAGAGATGGTGAGCCAGGTCGACTCAGACCAAATCCAATTTTCTTTCTTTCTTTTTCTTTTCTTTTTTTTTCCTTTTGGTGAGGCAGTTGGGGTTAAGTAACATGCCCAGGGTCACACAGCTACTGAGTATCATTTGTCTGAGGTTGGATTCGAGCTTGGGTCCTCCTGACTCCAGAGCCAGTGCTCCATGCACTGTGCCACCTAGCTGCCCTCAGTTTTCTTTCTAGTCCATTCTGAATACTCTCACAAGAAATTTCCTGGGGTAGCCCTACAGAGGCTTCATGCCTTGGGGATGCAGAACACCACAGTTGCTTTGGCTCAAACTTTCAGGGAATGGAAATTGCCAAATGTCCCTTCTCCTGTGGATTTGGGCTTTCCATCTCTCCTCGCCCTTGGCTTTTTTGGAGAGCATCCCTGAGCTGGGAGCAGCTGGCGGTTACGCTTAAGGAGCATCTCTGCTGAAACAGAAAATGGGAATTTGTTTTTGACATGTGATTTGTGAGTAGACCCTGAGAGGAAATGACCCTCCTGTGCCGCAGTCCCTCCATTAGGCAGGGAGATGTCATCCCTGAGTCAGAGGAAGTCTGCAGAAGGCTAGCTGGTGATTGGTGGCTCCTTGCACTGGTTTTCCTTTTCTTGGTTCTCCTGCTGGCACCTCTTATGGCAGCATAATATTCAGGAAGCTTCCCAAGTGAGAAGGTTCAGGAGAAGGATTAGATGGTGGCCTAGGTGCTCAGTCATTTGTCCTTAAAGGGTTACTAGGTAGTGAGTTAAAGATAACAGCACCTTTTTGTAGAAGAGTTTAAAATAGCTCTTTATACATGCCTCCTTATGCCCTGAAATGGCATCGTAGTGACTGCAAGCTGACCCAAGGTTCCATTTTGGATAACCCAGCCCTGAAGCTGACTCAGGAGAAGGCAGCCTCCAGCCTCACAGATTCCAAAGTACTTTTTTTTAAAAAAAAAAAAAGATCTTTTTTTTCCCCCAAAGTACTTTTTAAGAAACTTGTCAGGCTAAGAGGAAGGGGAACCCTGAAATAAGATTCCTAGATACCCTGTTCCAGCTATTGGGGGCTAGGAAAAAGGGATAGAAAGTGACTTTTCTTAGTTCCACACTTTGCCCTAAATTGGTTAATGGGAAACACAGACATCTCATGTAGCTATTCCTACCTAGGACCTGTTGGCCAAACTCTTTGCCTATGATAGTCATCCAACCTGGGAGCACCACAGTGCACAGAGAGCCAGGCTTGGAATCAGGAAGGCCTGAATTCAGATCCAGCCTCAGACACTGACTAGCTGTGTGACCTTAGGCAAGTCACTTCATCTCTGACTGCCTCAGTTTCCTCAACTGTTACATGAGGATAATAACAGCACCTACCTCCCAGGGTCGTGAAGATCAAATGAAATCATCTTGGTAAAATGTTTAGCATAATGTCTAGCACACAGTAGGTGCTTAATAAATGCCTATTTCCTTCTTTTCTTCAGCCATAGCTGCCCAATTACCTCAAGATCCCAAGGACCTTTCGAATGATTAGGAGCTAGGACTGAGCTGGTTGCTGTTGTGGAACAATCTATAGAAAACGAGTCTGCCCGCCAGCTCTTTCCCATGGCGTTTTCAGAGCAGGGGAGGATCTTGGCTGAGTTGTTAGCTAGGTCATGGCATCAGCAGTCAGTCAGTCTGGTTTGGGAACGCCCACTACATCTTCAGCACTACTGTCGGCACCATCAGATCTCCCTGCAGTCGAAGCTGTGAAGCCATGTTCCCCGCCATCTAGAGGCTTACAGTGTAATTGAGGAGAAGGCTCTGAAATGTCACAGCAGTACTGTATTGGAGAAGGGCTGAATTGGTTGGTACAGCCTGAATAGTGTCAGAGTTCTAAGGAGGTCGGTGAGAGCTGCTGCAGTAGTCTGAAGAGGTTACCTGGAAGAGGTGGGGTTGTGTGGCAGGCTTGGGATAGGGTGGGGAGGGCATAACTTTGTTGAGTTTCAATTCCTCTTCCATTCAGGCAATTTCTAAGGCACGAGTACAGCGCGGGTTGGGCATGGACAAGGGTTAGCATTTCTGCTTTGGTGCTCTGAGAAGGGAGCCAGGAACATGGACTGACCAAACCACATCTCTGCTAGAACCTGCCTGTATGTGCGGGGATGGGCTGACAGTTCCTTCCTCCTCCCCTCTTTCATTCCTCCTTTTCCTGCAGACAAACCTCCCTATCTTCAAGCTGAAGGAGTCATGTGTGCGGCGGCGCTACAGTGACTTTGAGTGGTTAAAGAATGAACTGGAGCGGGACAGTAAGGTGTGGCCCACCTTCCACCCCACCCTGCCCCTGTGGACACCAAGCCCGTGGAAGGAGTGGGAAGGGTGGGCACCACTGGACGCTTCAGTGGGCTAATTTTAGACACACAACTTTGAAAAGGGATATGTGAGGCCAGGTACAAATAGACTTAAGACAGGGTTAGCGAAATGACATGAATGTTCAGTCTAAAACAGATTGTTAAAGAGGGGTAAGGGTATAGGGGTCCAGTTGCTAATGTTTTCATGTGATATCGTGAAGGGCATCTCTGCCCTCCCACAGAAGTCCCTTAGTGCTAGTGTCAGAAACAGACTACGGGCCTGTCTGGATCATTGTTCCTAGTCACTTTGGGGGTGCTTGTGTTGTTAGTTCTCCCGAGGTACTGGTTGTGGGACATGGTGGGCCCTGTGCATGATCAGCGGTTGATGCTTGGGGTCTACCCACAGATTGTAGTGCCACCACTGCCTGGGAAAGCCTTGAAGCGGCAGCTCCCCTTCCGAGGAGACGAAGGCATCTTTGAGGAGTCCTTCATCGAGGAGAGGAGGCAGGGCCTCGAACAGTTTATTAACAAGTGAGCTGATGTCCTGAGGGCTCTGGCTGCTACTCTCCCACCCCCTTTCTTTGCCCCATCTTCTAGAATGAGTGCTACGTTGTGGTGTTAGTTTTGGGGTAGGTTGAACTGGCAGTGTGGGCCATTTCCTCCATCGGGAAGATTGACCCCGTACCTCCAGGACTTGTCATCCCTCAGTCCCCTGCAGGTGGTACATGTTAGCCATGTCTGTGAAACCATTTCACCTCAACTTCCCCTGGAAGCACTAAGGCTAAGCGGTAGCTGGGTCTGGTAAAGCAGAGGCTGCAGAGCTGTTGGGGGTCTGTGTGAAGCAGTCCAAGGCCAGCCTAGTGCTGTGCCCAGCTGCCTAGGCCCTGCTCTTTGCCTTTGGTGCTGTTTCTGCTTCTCTCTGGCCTTCAATACTGACATCGGCCATCTTGGTTCCCTTACAGAATCGCCGGGCACCCGTTGGCTCAGAATGAGCGCTGCCTACACATGTTCCTGCAGGAGGAGACAATTGACAGGAACTACGTCCCTGGGAAGGTGCGCCAATAGGAAAGCCCTCTGGCTGCCTGCCTTCCGCCTTCCTGGCAAAATGACACTGATTTTTACACTAAGCCTCTCTCTCTTGATCTGCAGTGGCTGTCGTCCCCCGGCCTGACTATCTGTCTGCCATCGTTCTCCCTGGCATTCGGCCACACTGTGGGCACTCTTCTAAGATCCTCCTTTCTAAGGAGAGGGGGGAAGCTGTGGGCAGAGGTCCTGGGCTTTTAGGGGGAGGGGGTCAGGAATTGGACTAAAAGGCACTTGCTTGGGCTTCCTCTCAGGCAACAAGGCTAGCCTGGGGGTCTGGTGCTTCAGTGGCACTTGGCCAAACAGGTCAGCGGTGCTGTGAATCTAAGGGAGGTTCCCCACTCCAAAGTTGAACCTGGAACTCTGAGCAGGGAGCAACCCTGCCCCTTCTACCTGCATGGAACCTTCCTTTTGCCCTGTTCTGGGATGGTAGATTCCCATGGGCTCTCCCAGTTTTCTCTGTTCCTCCCCTAGTTCTCTCTATATTTCCATGATTCGCTTCCTCCCTCTTATGTTGCTGTCTGGGGTAGTCATCAACCCAGAAGCTAAGCGTCCCAGTTTGTGGATTTCCTGGGCCCATCGTACTTAGGTGCCTCAGAGTCACAAGGGACTTCTGGGGAGGTAGAGGGGCTCCCATTGGCTTTCTCCCACTCTCCAGGCCCCTAGCTGCTTCCTGTGTGTGGCTGGCTTTTCACTGTCCATCCTTGATTGACCAGTGTGGGTCAGCAGCTCTTCCTGAAATCTTAACTGCCAGGTGGGCTGCCTTGGGGGAACCTCACTGTTGGCTGATGGTACAGAGTGAGAATGGTTTCTTGTCTCGGAAGCTCCCAGGGGCCAGAAAGCACTCCATCCCATTCTCCTTCCTCCTCGGAGTCTCACGACATGTTTTGTTCCCAAAGGGCAGGACTACATGAACCAATAATGTAGTCTGACTTCTGGCAAGCACTTTGAGCTGGGTGAGTGGGGTCATCCCCTCCCCCACTTTGGTCACAGGGTCGTCAAGCTTTCTGTACCTGTCTCTTCGGGGACTGTCGGTGGCTTCTCTAGAAGCTGGGCTGGGGACAGCAGCTGGCTGGGAGTCACCCTCGCTTTTAGTACAAAGCAGATTCTTAGGGCTAGAAGCTCTCCTGGGCTTTGGGCTGGGAGGCGGCCTGTTGTCTGGCCAGGGTGAGAGAGTAGCAAGCATGCAGAGGAAGGCCTTCCCCGAGCCCTTCATCATAGCAGGATGTTGGGGGAGGGAGGATTGGAAGCTCACGCCGAGTCGAAGGTGCCCCCAGGACAGAGGTCAGCTCTAGCTGTTGAGGCGGCTCCCAAAGAGAGGCCCTGCTCCCTTGCCTGCCTTGCTAATGGTGTTGTTGTTGAAATACCTGCTTCAGTTTTTGAGCTGTATTTTTAAGCTATTCCTTCAGCACGCACAAGTGCTGAGAGTCTGATGCCCCTTTTCTGCTGTGTATATATCCTAACTTGGGGGTTCCATTCAGCAAAACCGTTCAGTCTTCTGTCAGGCAATGTCATATCCAACTGCTGTTCATATTAAACCACTGTGAAGCAAGCCTGTTTCCCCCTCCTGTTTTGTTTTGGGGCTCCTACAGGAAGGATTTGTACGTGCCATAAACACATTCCCATGCTCTTTTCATGCCTGCTGCTAGCTCAGTAGTGTCTCCTGCCTTGGTGTGGACAGTCCTTAGCAAACTGGGCTTTTTTTTGGTGGGGGGGGCAGGTAAGGAGACTTGTGCTCATTTAGACAGTCCTATGCTCTTTGCTTAATAGGCTTTTAAACTGAAATTGAGGGAGTTATTTTTTGTTGGGGGGAGGGTTATGGATGAAGGGAGCTTGGCATCTTGAAAGAGAGATGATAGTATGGAAGGAAGGCCCAACGTGACAAGGAACAGCTAGTGAGCAAGGTGAGGCCCCATTCCAGACTGACGGCGAGGATGGGACATTCGCTGTGGGGTGGGCAAGGCTTGGAAGAAGACACAACTGCTGTTCTCTCCTTGCCAGTGTGGCCTGGGGCGTTGGCATGGTGACAGAGGCCTGTAACTAACTTGTTAATGCATGCACATCCTTGGAAGGGATTAGGGATGAAAAGAAGACTTGGTATGGGGATATATGAAGGCCTGTCACGTGGAACAGGGATTAGATTTATGCTTGGTGCCAGAGGTCTTATCTGGAGGTAGTGGGGTAGGAGTTGCAGTCCCAATGTGAGGAAAAACTTCTACCAGTTAGAGCTGCCCAAATGTGGAGTGGGCTGTCTCAGGCTAGCATGAGGGTTAGGGTTAGGGCTAGGGGGTCTGAGTGGAGGCTGGGCAACCACTTACGGGACATTCTTTGTGTATATGATGCACTAGGCACTCCCTGAGTTCCATTCCACCTAGACAGCCTCTAAGTTGAGTGGAGAATCATCTTCTTAGGAGTGGGAACTTAGGTCCTAGAAGCCAATAAGATTGAAATGTGGAAGTTTCATAGGATCCTGACTGCTGAGCTGGACAGGACCTTAGATCTCACTGAGTCCATTTTACAGCTGAGAAAACTGAAGTGAAGTGACTGCCAAGGGTCCCCCAGTTAGTAAGTGTCTGAGGGAGACTCTGAACCTGGCTCTTCCTGACTCCAAATTGAATCTGTTTTCCTAGAGCAGGAATCAGACATTTGAAAGGACTTTGAGGTGAAAAGGTTGAGGTTTGGAAGGAGACTGAAAGGCACAGCAATATAAAGGAGGGAGCAGAGAGAGCTGTGTTCAGATCCTGCCTTTGTCACAAGTGCCCGCCACCGTGGACTAGTCACTGCCCCTTTCTGAGGTGCAGTTTCTTTTCTCAGCTGTAAGACCCATGAAGGGTTGCTTTGTCACTTCAGTGAGATACCTTCCAATGCTATGTAGATGTCAATTAGTAGCATCATCGAGGGAAGAGGACCTGATAGATAAAGGACTAGGCTTTGACTGTAGCATCCACATTCAAACACAACACTTTTGGTCAAGTCCCTAGAGAAGAGTCAGTGTCATCCTAATTTCCTCATTTTACAGGTGAAAAAACAGGCCTTGGTACAGCGAGTGAGTGGAGAACATGTTACCTTCCTCACAATAGTTCAGAAGGTTGTTAGGATTGAATTAATGTCTAGTACTTGGTCCTTTGTCCTATAAATGCCAGCTGTCTGTCAACCCAGAGTGAAGAAGAGGTTCAGTCCCAGCAACCAAAACAGTTATCATTGGAAGAAAATAGGCATTTATGAAGTGTCTATTGTATGCCAGAGACCCAGAGAAGATGGCTAGCCTTGCCCTTCCTAGGTCTAGGACTAGGTGATCTCACCCAGGGCCTGGGGGGAAGGGAGTAAGGAGAAGCTGATTAACAGCAAAGGTGTTGACAGGTGTTCATTGGATTATGCATGATTGAATGGGGACCAGTGGAACCCCAGAGCTAACTGACATTTGGTCAAGTGACTGAAGACCCTGGCACCCTGAACTTTCTTTTCTTGATAGTTTTCTTTCTTCCTACTTCTAGTCTTTCCAAATGGGGGGCCCTTTCATGTTAATGAAATGTTAACCCTTTCAATTCTATTACCATTCTTCTGGGATTGTCTCCTAGGTCATTGACTTAGGCTGGAGGGGGCCTTCAAGCCTTAGAGATTATCGTGGCTGAGCCCAAACCTAAATCCCTCTTTAATAATTGGGCATAGCAAATCGATGAGCTTGCTATCGTATTTCAGTCTCACAGTAGCCACACTCACTTACAATGTTCATACACCCTTCCCCCTCCCTGCCCCCATCACCAAAGTTTGTGGTTCCAGTACAGGATTAAAGGGAGCATTTATTTATCACTAGTAAGGTTTACAAAGCACCTTTCATGTTCTGTTTTACATGATCTTTACAGCCCAGGGAGGTTGGTGCTGTTATGATGCCATTTTAGATTTGAGGAAACTGAAGCAGAGGGGTAGTGACTTACCAAGAGTCACACTGCTAATAAAGGTCTGAGGCAGGATTTGAATTCACATCTTCCCGATTACCAAGACCAACACTGTCCATTTCACCAACTAGTGAGACATCTTGCTCCTACATTCCATGCCTCTTTCATTTTTAATGCTTTACCTGAAGAAAGCCAGTCATGCTTCCCTTTGTATTGTGCACGTGCTCCTCCCTCCTTCCAAAAGAGAGACAGTAAGGACTGTTTGTCCGCATTGGAAAAGGAGTCTGCTTTTTCCAAAAGGGCCTGCGCAGACTTCCTTTCTTAGGAGTTTCTCCTGTTTCTAAAGGCATATTTGATCACTAAGTACTTGTGGGGTGGGGAAGGCAGCAGTAGAGAAACTTCTGGTGACCTGTAAATTGATGAGCAATCAGAGAATGTATCGAATTAAAAGTGAAGTTTGTATTTTACATAAAACCCATACATTATATATTGCAGAATGATTTGATTCACAAATCATTTTTCATTTTTCTGGAAAACATCGTAAAGGGAGTTAATTAGTACCTATAAATGCAGTCAGTTCTTAATGCTCCTTGCTAATGGAAAGGTGCTAATGGCTACTGTAAAAAGAATTATTTGGTTTTGTAGTGGGGGGGTTGGGAGGTGTCTAATGTTCTGGGATTTTGTAATGCTTCAAAGAAGATCATGTTATTGACATCTACATTGTGGAGAGCTCAGAGAGGTCTTGAGGGTGAGAAGGGCACCAGAAAAGTGAAAGGTAACCAAGAGCTGACTGTGTAGCTGGTTGATTTGGTTTCTCCCCTCCAAACGGATGCTCCTTTACTGGTTGCACTTGTCTTCCCCATCTCCCAAATGGTCAGGGTCACTTTGAAACCTAATCAGTTTTGGGTATGTCTCTGGTCTCCTTACCCAACTGTGTAAGGCCTCACACTCCCCTTGAGCATCTCTCCCACTGGACTCTGGTACTACCCAAGAAACATTTGAAGTACCCTGCTTGCATCCCTTCATCTCAGCTTTCCCCAGCATCAATCTAGGGCCAGTGACTTGGGAGCCAGCCTGGTATCCATCCAAGCCAGGGGTAAAGCTGGAAGGAAATCTCCATGGCCAAAGCCTTTCCCAAGGCTGTTACTCATGCTGAGCCCTTAGAGCAGAAGTGGACAGACGGATAGCCAAGCTTGGCTCTAAAGATCAGGGCACTGGGGCTCTGCTTTCTGGCCCACACTTGGACCTGCAACTTTGATTCATCCTCTGGGGCCACAGAAGGAATGTGCTGGTAGTGACCAGAACTCAGTGCTGGAGGGAGAAACTGTGAGAGAGAAAGAACAGTGGAGGCTGGGAAGGGAATGAAAGAGGCTGTGGGAAGCTTGGGAAAGCACTGAGCTGGGACCTAGGCCACTTAGGTCTTGGGTCTCCCTGTTGCCCCTTTCCTGTCTGAGATTTGAGTTGTAAAATGGAGCAAGAGGAGGCCAGGGGTCAGGGAACCTAAGAAGGGTAAGATACCTTCTGCCACACCTTTCCTTCCACCCAGAGACAACCATGCCCTGGAAGGCAGGAGGGCTGGATTGGCCTGGAGGGAAACCCAAGGGATTGGACAGGGGCTGATTGTGCCACCCTCAGGTTGTCCCTCAGACTCTGATCTGGAGCCTGGTTTATGAGCCTCCTGACGGAAAAGTAGGCCTGGAAGGGCCCTTGTGGTCATCTATACTCAGGTAAGTGGGGGTGTGAGCCAGGGTGGCCGGAGGCAGAGGGGGCTGGCTTGGAACCTCCATGGGCTGCCCATTCTCCAATTAGGTGAGGGTCAGGAAGGCGTGTGTGTGTGCGCACGTGTGCGCGCAGACAGGGGAATGCCTCCTTGGGAGCAGCTGTGAAGAGAGACCCGTGCCCATTGCCCCTTGTGGTTTGTATTAAAAACAAACAAACAAACAACTATTTTGAATATCTAAAGAACTTTGTCAAATTTATAAGAATGTGAGCCATTCCCCAATTGATAAATGGTAAAAGGATATAAACAGGCAGTTTTTCAATGAAGAAATCAAAACTATATATAGTCATATTAAAAATGCTCTAAATCACTATTGATTATAGAAGTGCAAATTAAAACAACTTTGAGATATCTTATACCTGTCAGATTGGCTAAGATGATAGAAGGAGAAAATGACAAATGCTGAAGGTGATGTGGAAAAATTGGGACACTGTACACTGTTGGTGGAACTGTGAACTGATCTGACCATTTTGGAGAGCAATCTGGAATTATGCCCAAAGAGTTATAAAACCATGTATACCCTCTGACCCAGCAATACCACTATTAGGCCTGTTTTCCAAGGTGATCAGGGAAAAAAGAAAAGAACCTGTATGTTCTAAAACCTTTATAGCAGCTCTCTTTGTGGTGGCAAAGAACTAGAAATTGAGGGGATGCCCATTATTGAGGAATGGTTAAACAACTAGCATATGATTGTGAGGGAATACTACTATGCTGTAAAAAATGATGAGCAGGTTGATTTTAGAAAAACCTGGAAAGAGTTACATGAAATAATGAAGAGTGAAATGAGCAGAACCAAGAGAACAATATTGTTCTAAGAACAACTAAGTCATTTTGAGTATTATAAATCTCAAATCAACTACAAAGGACCTGTGAAGGA